AATCTTACGTTACTTCCTGACCGCTGGGGAGAACTATATATTGACCTCCAAATTCTTGAGACATTTGAGCATGGGAAGTGGGGTCCGAGTATGTAAGTAAAGCTTTATCGTTCACTTCATAGTGGCTGCCATTTAAAGCAAACAGATACATGATGGACAGCTAGACTCGATTCCCTTCCTGATTCCCAGATCTTCTGGACATAAGAGGGAACACAGGGATCTGACACTTTGGGGATTCCCATTGTGTGTGCTGGTCCTTTCATCAGGGCTATTTTATCATCCTGTGAGCCCACAAGGCCTGAGAAGCGTCTCTGACCCACCCTTTAACCATGGATGAGTTTTTGGCTCTTATGCCAAACAAGGTCACGAGGCCAAAGCAAGATGCCCCCAAACATTTCTATGGCTTTGGAGCAATTACTGTGAAACTTTAGTGCAAACAAGCTTAACTCTTCATCAGGATCCAGTATGCATTTGCTTTGAGACAAGTCAGTCTCCAGGACGGGGGGTGGAGGCCTCCCAGGTTCCGTGGCCTCGGGAAACAGTGGACCCCTAGATGCACAGGATGCCTGTCAGATGGCGACTCTCTAGAGGTCGTCAGCATGAGGGATGGAAAGGAAGAGAAGGCTCCTGTCACTTGGGCAAGGCAATTCACCCGGTGCCTTGGTGGGCATGAGTAAGACTCCTATAACCTAGCCACACCGATATATAGCACCCCTTCCTTACAGGAGAGGAAACTGAGGCTCAGGAAGGTGGACTGGTTTATGGCTAGTCAGGGAATTAGCTAGAGAAAGAGTCCAGAGAGAGCCCAGATTGAATCTCCCACACGGTCTCCCCCTCATGCTGCTTCCCTCAAGGCACAGAAAGCCCAAAGCTCACATCTGTGGTTGACTAAACTTCAGGTATAAGGGAAAAAAAAGCAGCAGCAGCAGCAAATCTCTGTTCTCTTATCAAACATTCCACCTTTTAAAGTAAGTTAAAGACAAAGTGTTGCCTTTAAATGCAGAATTATCAGGTCCAAATGACATCCTTAACTGACCTTGGTTGGTTGCTATTTGTGTTTTCTTAGTTTCAGTTTAAAGAACTAAGAACAAAAGTGCATATTGTTTATTCCATTCCCAGCCTCAGCTTCTCCTCTTTCCCCCTCCCCCACCCCCAGCCTTGCCAATTTGTACACAAATCAGAAAAATCCCCAATGGGCTGAAAACCTGTCCATAGTTTACTCCAGCTGGAAAGAATTGTGCTCCACCACGATTCAGACCCCGTTTATAATGGAAACCCTGACAGGCAATGTTGTGATTATAGTCTTGCCATAATGAATGTATCTGTGTGGCCAAAGTCACGGATTTTTCCATGGTATTTTTCCATGGGAGATTTCCTCCCTGAGAGATGTTAACTTAAAATTTGGATTATAGCTTTGACTTTAGAGCAGGATCTCTCCTGGCATCGATATAGCTTGAAGTTCGTGATTATATTGACTTTGGTAGGCCTGATTGGCAAGGGGGATATTAGTCAAATTGATTTTTTGCAAGATTGATGAGGGTAGGGGATAGGGATCTGGTGATATAGAAATTTATGTCAGGAAACTTGTACACTTTCCCAGATTTTTAATCAGGGAATAAGGTCTCTCCTCTCTGAGCTGGTGGCTACATTAAAGGACAAAAAGTGAATAGGGCTGACAGATATTAGGGTGACCAGCCATCCCAATTGGCCTGGGACTATTTGGTGTTAGCCCTAAAATCTTGCATCCAAGAAAACCCTCCAGCCCCAGGGAAACCAGGATAGTTGGTCACCCTAAATAGTATGGAAAATTGAATTAAATTCAGGAGGGCAGGAAAGTAATAGTCTTATTTCAAAGAATAACCAGACTGAGGTTTAAAGTAAAATCCTTCCTTGATGCTTAAAATACTTAAGTATAATCAGCATTTAACTTGAGAATGTATTCAGGAAACAGCTCAGAAAGAATGTACAAATCTCATGGTTGGTGCGGCAGAATATAATGGGAAAAACCAAACAAACCACTATTCCGGCTAACAATTTCAGAGGTTAACCTCTCCTCTGGTCTTTTGGAGGCATAAGCAGAACAAGGCATCGAGCGGGGCTTTGGGTCCCCCCAGGAGGCTGCCGCCAAGGGTCCCACCACCTCGAGCGTTTCCACGGTATCTTGGCTGCTCTCTAAACACCTCTTCTCTCTGCTAGAACAAGAAAAGGATGCAGGAGAGAAGGAAGCCAGAGGCCCATCTGGGGAGCCGGGGTCCCCTACCTGAGCCCCCTCATAATGCCCTACCCAAGGGTCTCCCTTTCTGGTCTCAGGTTGTTCTGGTTGCCTTTCCGAGGGCTGTGAAAGCCGCCCTTAGGAACGGGTACACTGCCTGAGGTCAGGAGAAAGGAAGGAATACAGAATCCAAACTAAGGCAGACATGGCCAATGCCAGAGCCAAAAACATTGGTCCCAGGAGCCCCGGACAAGCCTGTAAAGTGTTGAGAGGAAATGGATATTAGCCCTCCTTTTTGACATCTAAAAAGATATATCAGGACATGAATATCAAGCCTATCTCTGGACTCATAAATGCCGAGGCTTTGGGGTATGTCTAGAATCTCTTTCTGGATTTGTCAATTCAGAGCCTTGTTAGATGTGCATTAACTCGGCCACGAAGTCCAGGACCTGGGGCTGGAGAAATGGGGCGCGAGGGCAGCAGCCCACGGGGCTGGATTCTTCCCTCTCTCCACAGAAGGTGGGCTTGGCCACATGGCTTGTGGAGGCCACAGAGCGTGGCAGGACGGGCGGTGTGGCCTGAATTTCTGGCCAGCGTGTCCACAGCTCCTCTCTCCCGGGATGGAGAGCGCATGGTGCTCTGACTGGCAGCCCGACACCGAGCCCCGAGGAGGACCCGCGGACCCCGGAGGGGAATGTAAGTGCTCCTTGCTGGATACCATTGTGTTTGTTTCAAATCCCAAGCTCACACAGGCCCCTGCTTTTAACGAGGGAACTTCACCTTGTCTCGCCGATCTGATTCTGTTTCAGTCATACGACCCACATCTGCCATAAGGCAGCTGTGACAAGGTGTTCCCAGGGCTCTTCGTTCTAGGCTCCCTGCCGATGTCATGGGAACGCAGAAGACAGAACTTCCATTCTCATTTTTCTGCCTTTTTAAGATCGAGGTATAACTGACATACATTATGCTAGTTTCAGGTGTACATCCTAATGATCTGATGTCTGTATATATTGAAAAATGATCACATCTGTCACCACATAGTTACAATTGTCTTTCTGCTTCTTCATAGAAGTACCTGCCCCTTCATCAGAGTTCCGATTCCCCCATGGGGGCGGAAGCACGGCTGTCTGGTTCTTACAAGATCAAAGTCTTCTCCAAAAAGGCAGGGGGTCTGTAACAGTTTTACAAACACCCGCTTCCAAAATGGCTTGTTCAGGGGGCTGCTGGCTGGCTCAGATGGTGGAGCATGCCACTCTTGATCTTGGGGTCTTGAGTTTGAGCCCCACGTTGGGTGTGCGATTACTTCAAAAAGTAAAATAATAAAAAACAAAAACAAAATGGCTATTCAGAAGCATTGCTTATGGAAGTACAATACTTGGTCGTCCAGGAAAAACCTAGAAATTCAGTTCCACTTACCGGGTGTTGACTGAGCACTTCCCATGAGCCGCCCATGGGCTTACTTACTTCCCAGGGCAAACAGCTGAAGCAGAGAGCCGGCCGCAAGCCGCATACATTCGCTGCAGGAACAGGAGAATCGACCCTTGTTTCCCACAGGTTCTGGAGAGCCCGGCATTCCCTGCTTTTTAGAAACAGCAGTGAAGGTAGTATTTGTCTGGTCTGTAGTGTTTAAGGATACTGGTAGTCAGTCCCTTTCTTGCATCCTCTGTGGCTTCATGGGATAAGAAGGAAGTGAACTATCCTTAGAGAAATCAAGAAAGCCACATGGGCAGGTGCAACAGCAGACATAAGGTAAATACCCTCGAAGCCAAGCCATGGGAGCAACACATGTGTTTTGAAGCTCTGCCTGATGGGCACTTACGGAGGCAGTGATGACAATCCAATAGATCCAGTATAGAATGCTGAGCTTAACAAGCAGCGGTTAAGCTACTCCTAATATTCTAGGGAGGAAAGGAGTAGCCTCTGACGTGTGGGAGCTGGTCTGGTGCCCACATTCCTCTGAGCCCTTTCTCCCACCTCTCACTGAGCCGCCTCCACAGGGGACACCCCCCCTGGCTGCGAAGGGTCACGAACCCAGCTGGTTCAAGTCCATGTGGCCCCTGGTGCTCTTGACCTGAAGGGCTTTGGCCTTTCCCTCTAAAAATGTCATACTTGTGCCCCACACATCCCGAGCACAAAGATGAAGACAAGTAGTGTAGAGAAGTGGAACCACTTGTCCAGTAACCATTTCTTCAAGGGTGCAAGGGCGTTTGGTCCCTGGTGAGCCTTCGGGAGGGTCCTGGCCCAGAGAAGCGCCTCCTACTGTCCCGGGCAGAGTCGCCAATGCCACAGCCCACACCTTCTTAACAGAGTATCCCCTTGACCAAACCCTGCTCAGGTCTCCCCTGAACTTTCCAACGAGGTCTACTTCCACACTTCTCTCTGCTTTGTCCCGTTTTAGCAAGAATCCTGCTGAGTCAATATTAGCAGAATCCTCCACACTGAAGGTCTCATCACCTTCTGTATCTGGTCAAATTCCCCAGGCCCCACTGGCCCCAGGTGAGGTCGGACCACCTGGCCTGCCTTCAGCGGGAGCCCTGTTAGGTTGGTTTAGCCAGTCTTTCCCTTACCCCTCAGGCTTCCTCTCGGTACATTTCCGTCCACTGACCCCACTCTGCTCCTTGACCCTCAGTTCCCTCTTGTCCATGCTGTATCCAGAATGGAGTCCAGGTGTAGACTTTTCTCTTAACCCCTATTGCAACGGTCCTTGATATCATCTGCTTTTATTGCTTTCGCTTCTGCCCAGCTCAGTCTCTGACACTCCTTCCGCCAGGCAGTGGCGTGGGGGCTCTTACAGGTACTTGTACTGAAGTTCAGAGCCGCTGTCTGCTATCTGCCCTTGAAGTCTGTGGCCAGCAACAGGGACAATGACGGCCTGACAGCTCACTGCGAAGTTACACTACACTTCCTCTCTGGGGCTTGACTCTTGTCCCTGAACCCAGAGGTGTTTGGGAAAGGTAGAATGGACCGCCCGTGGACAGCGCCCAGCCCTCCACCTGGGCTCTGCCTTCTGCTCCTGTGGTTTCTGACCGCACTTTTTTAACCAGCTCTGAAGGAAGGCTTCCAGAGACGTTGGAAATGCCTGTCCACCAAGAACCCATTTTAGGGGGAAGCTGAGATCACAAGTAGCCTCTCACATGGAGCGGAGGAGGGAGTACAGTAACGAAGTGTGAGGTCAGGGGTGGAGAGGAGCCACCTGACTCCAAGTTGATGGCCGGCTGACCTGCGGGAAGGAGGGCTGTGTATTTAGCCAAAAAAAAAAAAAAAAAAAATATATATATATATATATATATAATTTTTTTCTGCCAGAGGATTCTCAGGATGACATTTGCATTTTCAGTTATGTTGATGATTAGAAGCACAGCTTTCCTATCTGCTTCCAGAAAGGGGGTGCATCATCTTCCCATGAGCTTTCATAAAATAAGGCAGGAAAAATACATTTTCCAGAGATTAATAACCCTCAGTGTCAGCAGAAGCCAACTGTAACAAGAACCCAGAATCAAACAGAACTCTGGGCTTTACCTTTGCATTTCCTAGAAGCTATAGCAACAAAAATATCAAAATAAAATAAAATAGGGGCGCCTGGGTGGCTCAGTCGTTAAGCGTCTGCCTTCGGCTCGGGTCATGATCCCAGGGTCCTGGGATCGAGCCCCACATCGGGCTCCCTGCTCAGCGGGAAGCCTGTTTCTCCCTCTCCCACTCCCCCTGCTTGTGTTCCCTCTCCTGCTGTGTCTCTCTCTGTCAAATAAATAAATAAATAATCTTTAAAAATAAATAAATAAAATAAAATAAAACAGGGATCATATAGTTCATGAAAGGAATCAGGTGATTGTGACTGGAAGCCCCCCACCACACTGTGAAGGGAAAGTGTGTCCTATACATACGTGTGCATGTACTGTTCACACTGGAGCTTAGAAATAATCCGCTCCAGTTCCCTCAGGCTTCGGTTGTGCAAACTGAGGTCCAGATGGGGGTGCATTGGGGGTACAGGTGTCGGAAATGGGATTCTCCTGTCCCCAAGCCCAGGGACCAGCTTGCGTTGCTGGTCTGCGGTCAGATGAAGAAAGTCGGCTTGGCCTTTAGCCGGGCCCTCCAGCCGCAGTCCCCGTGGGCAGCCTCGCACTTGGGAGTGGATGCGGGGCAAGGCTCGTCTGCGGGCCGCAGGCTCCCCTTTGGCAGTGACATCCGTGTCCCAGAGTGGCAGGAAGGTTCCAGTCCCTTGTGGACTCTTGCTGTGCCTCACGCTCTGAGCTGCCGGGGCCTCTGCCAACCAAGCCTGCACCGTGGTGGAAGCTTCCGGAAGGGCCCGGGCCTAGGATCGGGCTGATTTCGGCCATGGTGGCAGGGAAGGGCTGCGTGGCCGGCCGAGGGGAGGACTCTGCCCTCCTCCCCTAGGATGGGCAGTAGGATGTCTGCGAGTCACCTGCCTGCCTTCCTGGGGTGAGGCTGGGGTCCCCTTGGCCGTGGCATTGAAGTACAGCGTGCAGCTCTCCTGTCCTTCCCCTCCTCTCTGCCCACCCTCACCCCTGCTCCTTCCTTCAGGCTGTGCTCCCTCCGTGCGGCTGACTGCTTCTGGGCAAGAACTGGGTCATGGCTGTCGCTGTCAAGAGACCAAACTGGAGGTTTCCAACAGGTCTGCTTCTGAGTTCAGGACACCTTGAAACTCAGAGCCTTTCTCTGAGGACAGGGGGTCCTGGGGTGACAGTGGGAGGTCTTGCTGGGGAAACAGGGGTGTCCTCTGCTGGGTGTAGTGCTGGTTCAGCCCCCACAAAGGGGGACGAAAGCAACCAGGACTGTCTTCTCCAAAGGCTGCATTGATCTTAGACCCATTTCCTGTTTTTTAGGGCAAGTTTCACCAACAGCCAGTGATGATGACTGAGGAAACAATCCTCCAGAGCAGTCTGGCTTTCCAGTCCAGCCTCTGGGGGTCCCCACGGTGAGCGAATTTGTGACTTTTCTCCTGACGTGTGCCCGGGCTCCCCGGCCTCTCCCCAGCTAGAGCTGGGGCCCGGGAGAAGATTCTGTCTCTGCTTTATCAGCCCCTGGATGCCACACGAGTCCTGGACGGACACAACTCTGCCAGATGCCTGTGGGTCGAGGGTGTAGCAGGCTATAATGAGTTGGCGGGACACTGCCTCAGAAAGAAGCAGAAAAAGAAGAGCACAAGGTTATGTTCCTTGAAGTCCTGCATTTTCCCCGTAGTCTGAGAACTCCAGACTCTGGAATTCTGAATAGGGGAATATAATTGGGATCCCAAACAGGACTGTTGTTGGAGTATCAGAGCTGGATATTCCGGGGGAAGTTAAGGAGGCCTCAGCTTCCACAAACTGCAAATGTTTCTAAACTGAAAAATGTAAAAACAAAGTTTAATCCTATTGATACTATGGCTTCTTTCTCTAGGGCAGCTCTAACTGAGCACTCTAGATGTGTGTGTGTGTGTGTGCGTGCACGCAAATATGCATGTGTTTGCATGTGTGTGTGTGATGTCCGGTAGAAATGTTCATTTTACTTTCAAATAACTGGATCAAATGCTCAGAATGCATCCACACACCAGCGGAGGGACTCCAAAACTAGGGGAGGGGGAGGAGAGGAATAACCTCAAACGCAAGACCCGAGTAAAGGTTAAACATATCCATCAAAAACCCCATCTCAAGGAATTTCCATGCGCAGCAACAACACTTCCTTTGTGCATAAACATCTTAATCACATTGTTGTCAGTTTAATTTATTTTGATCAGAAGTGTTGACTACGGCAATAATTTCTTTAACAGAGCATTCCAGTAACCTCCCACGTTATTTCCAGTTTCCTGTTGTACTAGATCAAGTGCCTGGTTTCAAGGCGCTCGTTATAAACAGCAAGAAACCTGAAGTAGAAGTGGGGAGAAGCGCCTGAGGGTCTGGCAGACTGCGGTGTGGGGGAGCTGGGGGGGCCGACAAATGACCCCTTGGATCCTCTCCAACTACTTTTGGGGGATGAAGCGTGCGGGGTCACAAAGCGGGCCTCCAGTGGGGGAGTGGAGACAGCATTCCTGTGGGATGAGTGGTGGCTCTGTGGTGGGCACCCCTCAAGCCACTTCTACACATTATTCAGAATTCTCACAATGATGTCACCCGTCTTTGATAATGAGCCACCCAAGGTCAAAAAGGGGAACTAGCCCCCCTCCTCAGGCAAGTCCAAAGTACATGCATTTAATGAGTAAACTTTCCATGGGGCCACATCATTCATAAGGTTCTGGGTTGCAAACCCAATCTGGCATGCAGTAGGTACTCAATAAATGTTGGTCAGGGGAGCTCAAGATGTCAGCCAGAGCTGTCTGCTTCAGAGCTTGTATGCCTTTGCCGATAGCTCACCCACCATCTTCCCGCTGAGGACTCCCTCCAGGGCCACTTGGGAAGCAGGGGTTTGGGCAGCTCCAGAAAGAGGGGGAGAAGGATCAGCAGCTGCGTCTGTCTGAGCCCCTCAGGCTGGGAGCTGACCCTTGCCCCTGGCTCCCCGCTCACCATGCCCCGGGTCACTGAGAATGACCCTCCCACTTTTATTTTTATTTCCCAAGTGTAGGGAGGAACGCCCTCTCAAGCTTACATTCATCTGTTAAGCCAAGTTAACACAGTGGGCATGGCGCACTTGGAGTCATTCATTCATAAAACCAAGCTAATGAACTAAAACTGCCAGGCACTGTCCCAGATGCCAGATTGGAGCGGGGTGTGAATTCCAGCTCCACCACCTACAGAATGTCTGATCTTACGGGATATTACCTGACTTGCTCTGTGCCACCTTCCTCAGCTCTGAATTGGGGGTAATTCAGCACCGACGTCCCAGGGTTCTTGTTGGTCAATAGCACGTGGTGTCATGTCTGGGGGTCCTTGCTCTGCTCCCCCAGTGCTAGGATGCTGAGCGGGGAGGGACAGGGAAGACTTATGTTTGACCCCAACCAGAACCCCAGGGAGGGAGCCCCACCCACGAGTCCTTACTGATAGAAGTGGACAGTTTGAGTCCAGATTTGCTTGGGTTCCACTTGCGATGCCCTGGTGGGGACCACCGGCAGTCCAATGAGCTCCAGTCCTTGCTCTCCACCCAACTGCTCCTGAGCAGATTCCTGCTCTTAGAGTTAGGGCATCTTAAAGAAACAAGTTGGGGTTGGGGAAGGAGGGAACAATAAGGCAACGTTGGGCCTTACCAATGAGAAATCCAGACAAGACTCCAGCTACGGTCCACAGGTTGGTCTGGGAGGTCCCCTGGAGAAAGGCAGCAGACAACAGCAAAAGGAGGATTTTCTCCAGGAGCATAACCTACGGGACCAAAAGGAGAGTCACCACCCCTAGTCAGGTGCACATGGCCTCAGGGACACGCCCATCCTAAATTCTGCCGCAGTGTCCTTCAGTGTTGGAGGCTTTGTCCTCAATGCCCACTGGGGGGCCCACGGCTGACTGGGCCCCCCTAGAAGCGGGGCCAAGGTCTGAAAGAGCTTCTCTGGCAAAGGGGGATTCTCCTGGTTCTCAGTGCAGTTTATTAAAATATCTGCAGAATCATAAATGCACAGGGAATAGAAGGGCATAGTCCACATGGTTATGGTGGTTCTCTGCTGAGTCAGGTGGGGCTGAGAGAGGAGACTTTTATTTCCAACTTTATACATTTCATATTCTCATGTGAACTGTACACATGTATTAGTTTTATGATGCAATAATTCAAAGTATCTGTAGGGCTCATAGTGCCGCTGAATTCCAGTAAACTAGTGTCCCAAACTTTTACAAGCAACTTTAGTATACTTTAGTATTGCTTTGTCGATTATATGCCTCTTTAAAGGTAAAGTTGGCCTGTGGCCTGAGGTAACAGCACTCCTGATGGCTGAACATGGGGCCTTCCTCCACGGTCCAAAATGGCAGCAGCTTCTACAGAAGGCTCTTTGTACCCCTCACCCAGGCGGGCTTCTTAACTTTGGTTTCCAGTTTGTTTGTTTGTTTGTTTTTAAGATTTTATTTATTTATTTGAGAGAGAGAGAGCAGGGGGAGAGAGGGAGAGAGAATCTGAAGCAGACTCCATGCTGAGTGCAGAGCCTGACGTGGGGCTCGATCCCACAACCACAAGATCATGACCCAACCTGAAACCCAAGAGTCGGACACTAACCTGTGGAACCACCCAGGTGCCCCTGGTTTCTAGTTTTTATATATAAAAAATATATTTCTTAGGATAAGTAAACAAATTGGACATAATTAGAAGATGGTATATTTAAATACTGTGTATGAGGTAATACTGTTGGGCCAAAAGTCTTAGAAAGCTTTGCCGTGGTCATTTATGGGCACCATTTTAACTCTAGGAAAGTCAAATAAGGAGAGAATTGAAAGCGTTATGAAGAGCTACTTAACAATCCTGAGAACGCCCACTCTCCCCAGGCCTTCGGGCTCTGGGCGACACTGTTTCAAAGGTCCAGCAGGTATTATTTCAGGACTGAATGCCACAAAACTTGGAATTTCTCTCTCTCCTTAAATTAACTGCATCTCATCAGCTATCTGGTCCTGCTGAGTCAAATTCTTAAGTTTGTCTCAAATCCATTGCGTTTTTCTTGTCCTTAACAGCCGTTTTCATGGCAGTTCTGATCCTATTGCTTGCCGTCTGGGTCCTACGGTTTCCTCTGTCTTCATTCCCTGTCCACGGTCTCTCCTCCACACCACGGCCAGGTGATCTGTTGCGCCTGCAGATCAGACCTTGTCATCCATCCCTAACACACTTGGAAGTAGCCCCATCTCACCTGAGGGGCATCAAGACCCCACTCCTTGACAATGCGGGCAATCCTGTTTACAATGTATCCCTAGTCTTCCTTTGCAGAGTCATCTTCCAACCCGCGCTCCCACAGTGACCGTGCTGGCTACCAGGATGGGCCAACCTGCCTGGGCTAAGGGATGCCTGGGTGCTGGTAAAACGTTATTTTGGAGTGTGTCTGTGAGGGTTTCCAGAAGAGGTTAGCACTTCAATTAGTAGACTGAGTAAAGAACCTCACCCTTACCCCCTCACCAGGGCAGGCGGGCCTCGTCCAATCTGTGGAGGGTCCGAATAGAACAAAAAAGTGGAGAAAGGGCAATTCTGTCTTTTCTTGAGCTGAGACATCCATCTTCTCCTTTCCTTGGACATCCGAGCTCCTAGTTCTCGGTCTTTTGGACTTGGACTGAATTACCCCACATTTTCCTGGTTCTCCTGCTTGCGGAAGGCATACCGTGCCCTACCTCAGCCTCCAAAATTGTGTGAGCCAATTCCCATAATATATCTCCTCTCACGCATGTCTATATAGCCTATTGGTTCTATTTCCCTGGAGAACCTTGACTGACACAACACCACCACCAACAAAGACTCTCCCCTTGACCAAACCTGACTCAGATCGGCATCTCGAAGCCCTCTTCTTGCTCAGCCTTAAGCCTGGCCCATACAAACTGCAGACATGTAGTACAAATGCCTTTGTCAACCACCCCTCCCCCCCACACACATTAAGAGACTTGAACAAACACTCCCACAGCTCCTAACAACTCAAGGCTGCATCCCTAGGGTGATGAGCTGGACCCAGTTCAGTTTCTGCCTAAGAAAGCTAACACTGCCAGGAAGATTTACTCTCTGTTCCAGCCAAAATCTGCTGAAAGGCAGAGAGGCTGTGAACCCCCTCTTAGATGAGTTACTTTGGAAAGCTTGCACGTACAAATCCCCGTCTCTGAGTCTCTGAGGTGTAAATCCTCTGCGACCCAGAACTGCCTCCTCAAGGACCAATGAGCTGTCTCTTTGAAGCACCAATGCTCAAGAACACCCTCCCGGCCTAGGGGTGGGAGGGCAGCCTGCTCTAACTTGCATGAACACTGCCCCTGTCATCAAGATGTGAGAAGTGAGCTCCTCCTCCCGATCAGATGGCAGAGTGACCTGAACCACCCCCTTTCCCGCTGTTGATAAATTTCCAACTCCCTGACCCTGTTCAGACGTCCGATGTCCCCCCCAGGCCACGCCCCCATCCTCCCTTAAAAATGCCCAGCCACCGCCCCACAAATGAAATTGAGGTCAGTTCTTCGCTGTTGCAACGGACTTAATAAGCTCTGTTTCATCACCTTTAACCAGTAGTCTGGCTCTGCTCATCTCCAATGCCACCCACACTACTTTCCCGCGGGCTCCCTGACACTCTGTCTTGTTTCTGCAGCTTTGCCTGAAATGCCCCCGCCCCGACCCCCTTTTCTTCTGGCGGGGCTCATCCCCCGAGACCAGCTCGAATGCCCCCTTTTGTAAAGCCTTCTCGGACACTCTCTCTCGGCCTCTTGTGTTCCTGCGGGGTGGTCTCCGTCACAGAGCTTGCGTGAGCTTGCGTTCATGGGTCTGTGTCTTTGCGGCCCCTGAGGCTCCACCTGCCCACATGCCGGCCTCTGAGTCCATTTCCAGCACAGGGAGGAAGCCGTATGTGCATGCTTAAGTGAGTGAGCTGGTAACAAGTGGAAGACATCAAACCTGGCTTTGCAGGGCATTCACAAATCATCCAGAGGCCGGCTGCCTCCTCTGGAAGGGAAGGGAAGGCGAGGCGTTCTCAGTTAGGCTGGCCATCAGCACCACCTGACCCTGCTTCCAAAACACCAATTCCAGGGTCCCCCTCAGACCTGTTGGGTCTGCATCCCTGGCAAGGCCCCTGAGTGCCTCTTACAGCCAGCCAGGCTGAGAGGTGGGGGCACAGAGGCCCCGAGGCCCTCCCAGCTCAAACGCTCTCAGCTCCACCGCCCAGCCGTGTGGCTTGCTGGTTATGGCTGGGCTCGTAGCATCAGACCAGCTGGATCTGAATACCGCCTCTGTCTGCCCAGATGCCTGACTTTCCATGCCTCAGTTTCTGTACCTGTAAAATGGGTTTCGTCTCATTGAGTGCTGTGAGAAATTAGACAGTTAATGAGCTTAGAACAGGGTCCTGCCCAAAATGTTAGCTATTACTAATGATTCTGTTGGTACTCCCAGGACCTGAAGATGAGAACAAGAGGTCATAGGAGGGTAGGAACAAGTCCTAGCACAGAACCTACAAAACTACAAAAGCTTCATACTTCTGTTGAGTGAATCAATGAAAGAGGAAGTCCAGAAGTTCCTGCTTTGACCTTGGGGGCACGGTTTCCATTATTTAAGCAAAGCCATTAACCATTAAAAAACAGAGCTACTCCAAGCCCCCAGGCCCATCCTCCTTAGAAAGTGGATTTCTAAATACTCTGTGGTCTTTCGGCTTTTGGAACAATAACAACAACTTTCTCTTTGCCAACACAACACAATTTACCCCAAAGGAGTCACTTTCTCTCTGGGTCAGGGCTCCTGTGTCTTCCAGGGAAGGTGCCCGCTGGGGAGGGGGGAGGTCCATGAAAGGACAGTGTGGCAGGCCTGACATTTACTGGGTGTTGGCAGGAGGCTTGGACCAGACACCCAGGGATCAGGGCCCAGCCTAGGTAACATCGCCGGCCGGCTGGTGACCCTGGACGTGGCAGGTCACCTCCGTGAGTGGAGTCCCCGGCTCTGATGAGCACACTCAGCACCCCATTAGGCCGAGCGGAGCCTGAAGGAGTCTGCAAGTCACCCGGGCGAGGGTCGTACGGCACGCCTGCACTCCGGTGCAGTCCAATTTCTCTCCTTCCCACTTACCTGCTCTGACCTCTGGGTTCTCGTGACTGAGTGAGTGGCTGGGAAGGACAAAGTTTTGTTTCCCTTCCTCCCGTAATGGCCTCTCAGACTCCTGGGCATAGGACAGTGACAGACGGCAAATGGAAACCCTCTCCACATGTCCCTCCAGCTCGTCAGGCACACTGATAGGGGGACACCCTGCTCTGCAAACGCCAACTCCCCTTTATTCGCATGCGCGGAGCGGGCCGGAAGCTGCTGCACCCCCAGCGGGGCCGGACCCTGCGTGTTCCTCATCCTCCCGCACAGCGAGATGGGCACCCTTACTCCTGGCTCTCAGACGTGGAAATCGAGGCTTGCAGAGGCTCCATAAACACCACCACGCATCCTCACGGTCTGTGGGCCCCATGGCTTGAGGGGTTGATCAGCCATTTAGGGCTCTCCTAAAAGCAGGAGGTGACCATGCCACCCGCCTCTCCTGGACAGGAGCTGCCCCTCCTGCCCCTTCCATTTGCTCATGGCTCCGTCCTGCAGGGTCTGCTCCCCTGAAAGTCTCTCCCCCCTTTCATCATCAATAATGGCCACCAGGCGCTGGTTCTTGTGAGCCAAGTTACTTATTTACTCTTCAAAGGGGGCCCTGGGAAGTAGGTGGATCTTATATAATCGTCACAGCAACACCAAGAGGTCTTGTTCTTAATGTGTGACAGAAAAACAGATGTGGAGCGTTCCAGTCCCTGGCTGAGTGGGCTGGTAACAGTGAGGGGCGAGCCACAGTCCCAAAGCAAGCTGCCTGATCCCAAAATCTGTGCTCTGCAGTGCCGGCTACCTTTCCTCTCCCCCGCTCTTGGCAATGCAGCTTGGCTTCCACCTTCTGGTCCAAAGCATCTCTGGTCATCCTGGCAGGCAGTGATCCTCACCGTCCTTGTGAATTCAGACAATCTCGTCTCCTAGGATTTACCCACATTCTGCCTCATTGTTTGGTTATCTGGGTATGGAGCTTATCCCCCTACTGGACTAGAAGCAGCCTGAAGACAGGCCTCCTGTCACCTTCGTGGCTTCTGCACGGTCTAGGGCCATGCCTGGAACCCAGTAATGACAGAGCTGATTAACAAGGACACCGTGTATGTGACATAACAGCTGAGCTGTGATGTTAGCTAGCAGACGTAGAGAGTGTCTACAAAACACAGTTCTTGCCACAGTGACCACTGTGCAAACAACTGGACGTCCCAGTACCATTTTCAGAGCTTGTTATCTCTGTTCAAGATAATAGCTCCTTTTAGAAGCTTTCCTAAGACTAAGCTGTTCCTTCTTCCACAGCTATGTGTGCACAAGTACACACACGCACCCATGCACTCTGTACATAGAAAATTAGCAAATTCTTTTAAATGAATAAAACAGTTAATCTTTCTTTAGGAGCGCAATTTCTTTCAAAAATTTTCTCCTTTCTGCCAACATGTGTAGTAAGGCTCAAGTCTAAATATTTCTCAATGCCTCCTTTTCCCTAAAACGTGAGTTGCCGAGTGTATTCGCTGATGGCCAGAAGAGACCTCTCTCCTTGGCAGGGACACCCAGACCCCTGCAGGACTCCTGCAGAGTCACACAGACCCCGAGGCCACCACTCTCATCCACGTGCGTCTATACGGAGGGCTGGGGGCGGGGCTTGGCTCAGTGCAGGTGCCCTACTGGAAACAGAGAAGAGGTCCAAAAGCCAGCATTCAGAAGAAATGGAGGGCTTTCAGAAGCTGTGCGTGACATCATAGTATGTACTGTATATTTTGTATCGGGTCGGGACAGGCAGGACCCTATGCCTGTTTGTCGACAGAAGAGATTTCAGCCTGTGATACAGAACACGGTCTGTGTCGTGTATCATGAGCACAATTGCAGCTGTGCTCCGGACTTGGCCGGGTGTTGGGGCTGGGCTCCCTAAGCTAAGAGAGTGTGTCTGCAAAGAGAGGCACCCTACGCTCCTCCCCTCCCTGGACGCTCACGGGTGATGGAGTCCGTTCCTCCACATTCTGACTCTGGACTGGCCGTGACTACTTGGACACGTAGAATACAGCAGAAGCCATGCTGACCCAGGGCCAGGCCAGTTTTAAGAGGACTGACAGCTTCTGTTTGCTTTCTCTCAGAATTCCCAGCTGCCATGTCCACAGCCCCAGCTGCTCTGTTGAGGAGAATGGGGGCGCCCTGGGGTGCCAGGCATGTAAGCAAAGATGCCGTCTGTACGGCCAGCCCAGTGGAGCCTCCTTATGGATCCAGACACCCGCCGTCCTACTGCACCCACCTGAGATAGCCCACCCCCTGCCAAGAAACCCCCCCCAGGTGCCCAGTGAGCCCCCAAGAACCGAGGTTGGTGGTCATAGATGGTGATTTTAAGGCATCAAGGTCTGGGGTGCTTTGTTACGCAGCCACTGACAGCCTGCTTACCTCCAGAAACCAAAACCCAGACGTGGTAAGCTCTGAAGAAGAGAACCAGGCTCAGGACACGGGCCCCCAACATGCCCATCCTCCAGGGCTGCTGGTAGAAGAGGGTGGCCCATGGCGTGAGGAGCTGACCGGCTTCATGAAGCCCACGCAGCAAGCATGGCACACCAGGGCCCAGGCCAGTGCGGACCAGGAGCACAGCGTGCTCACACCTGGAGGGGAAGCAGACAACAGCGGTGTTTGTGGGGTGCCTAACCTCTCCATAAAACCTGGCTTCCCCAAGGGCATCCCTAACCAAGCACCCGAATGGGTGGATAACACAACTCTGTGTACAGACACGCACGCCTACGCGTAGGAAGCAACAAGGACGTGTGGGAGATATTTTCTCTGCATGATGCAGTGGGCGCTCCTCCCCAGCAAGGGAGCGGGGCTCTTCCCTTGTCCGCCCTTTAGGAAAAGTGGCCGAGCCCCTGATCCTCTAAGCCCTCCTGTTGAAGCTCTGTCAATGACGAAGCAGTTAGATGGCCCTGACCATGGTATTCCCTCCCAAATGCACTTTGCTGTTCAAGCCCTAGGAAGGAGATTTAGGCACAGCAATAAAACAAGAACACAAATTGTGCCGGGCCCCACCACAGGGACGACCAGAAGGACAGTGCTGTCATGACTTCCACGCGTTTCATGTAAGCACACATAAATGTGGACGCTCGGAAAAAGGAGGAGCAGGATGCTAGGAGAGAATCAAGACATGACCAAGAGAAAACGAGACACAGAGAGTCTTCGCTGGAGGAGACGCGGGTGGGACACACGTTCACTGGGCCGGAGTTGTTCTCAGTCTCTACGAGGCTCTTGGGCTCAAGCCTCTGGCTGCGTCCCGTCGGGCCAGTGACTGAGGACACAGGAGAAACAGATGCACAGATCCTATGAAGGAGCCGTGTGGGGTCCCTTCCCAAGGTGTTCCCAGGGAAATGTGACCATCTACAATTTCTACTGTGTGGACTGACCCCCACCAAATCAGCCAGCCCCAAACAAAAGCCGATTCAAACCATCGTCTTGTGCTGGTGAGTGCGGGTTGCCCTCTTTCTCCCCAACAGGGGAAATCATCGAATGCCCGGATTTACTTACTCAGGCGTTCCTCTGTGTTCCCCTTGTGAAGTCAGGCAGTCCGTGCTCGGGGGTGGGCTTTTTCTCACCTGGCACAATATCTGTGAAGTCTGAGGCGACGAAAACATGCGTCTGGAGCAGCAGGTGGGGCCCCGGCTGCATCAGAGCTTCCAGGAGGCGGAGGGCAGACAGGTTGGCCCTCCTGCAGCAGCACCTGGTCTCGGCGGAAGGCTTCCCGCTCCTTCGATAGAGCAGTGGACACGGCATCCTAACGCCTGAGGAAGAGCAAGGGCCTGGGGTGCAGAGCCAGACGGTGACAGCTTCAACGGGATGCCCCACACCCTTTTCCTGGCCGATTGGTGACAGACACCCAGCATTCTAGAACAGGCTGCCCTATCTAGGCATCAGAGCCCCCGAGCTCAGACCCCATGCTGCTGTCATCAGGTCCAACCCAGATGCGACGGTGGGTGATCCTGCTCTGCAAGGCCGGCCCGAGGCCCACTCTGCCCACATGTGGGCGGGATAGGGGTGGCGGGATCGGAGCCTGGACCAGACAGGCTTGCTGGGGTCTGCTTTGGGCCCTGCAAGGCCTGGCAGTAACCCTGACCTGCATCTTCCACCCCAGGACTTCTTGGGATGGGAATTAATCGACTCAACAAATGTGTGCTGCAAGGCATCATGCTGTCCTTGCTTTAGAGCATAAAGAAATGAGAAGACTCTCCTCCTCATCGTCACAGAATGTGGAACTTTATGTGTCTCTGCAACTGGGGCAGGCACAGGGTGGAACAAGGAAAGAAAAGGGGGCTTCCCTGGGGACAAGACAGGGGGCTGGAGCGTGACAGGAAGGTGTCACAGTCTGGCTGGCGACCTTCCTACAGTCGAGACAAAGGAATCAACACGAGAGAAGTTTGGAAACATTCCTGTGTCATTGTGTTTCCCAACCTAGAAACCTCAGGCCACGCTCCCGGCTTACGAAAGTTGTCTGGAAGGTGACATGGGTCCCCATCCTTTACCACCTGAAGAGTCGTGTAGCAGGCGGGAAGATGAAACCACTGCCCAGGAACACACCCTCAGGCACCGTGGACTTGGGGTTTTCACACAGCAGTTCTCCCTCATGCACCCAGGTCCCGCCTCGGCGTCCTCACGAGTAGGAACAAGGGTGATTACTACACCTGCTCACAGCCGGGACAGTTGTGCCCACCAAGGCCGTCTGGGACTGTGAACGTCTGTCTTGTCCAAGTTAAGAAAAATGGGGGAGGGGTATCTTAATTTATCTGCTCCTGAATCGGAGCAAGATGCATCTTTAAAGTCACCTGAAAAGCTCCCTCCGTGAGGGCCTCCCTAGGACTCTGGCTATGCCGATGCCAAGCCTCGCTCTGATCTCTGGCCAACATGTCTGTGGCCGGAGTGGATGGGGGTCCTCCTTGAAACGGGTTTATTCATGGTGCCGAGGGCCCAGGAAAGACACTTGAGGAAACGTGTTCCTTTTTCATGATTTGGAATCTTGGAGTGAACTGATTTCTTACTGAGTCTTTGAAGCTGTGATCTCTGGCACAAGCATAATGTTAAGGAAAAAACCCAACAACAACAGAGAAGGTCGGGACTGCAAACACCAGGCAGGGTAGCTTTCCTTTCAGTCGCGAATCATCTGCTCTCCCTCTTCCTACCCTCCCTGAAGCCTTCACCTGGTCAATGCACATTTTCGTTGGGTTTTTACCACCTGCTGGAGACAGAAGGCATGAAGGAAAGGAAGCAAAGGAAAGACTTTCTCCAGAAGCCCAGAGCTCAGCTGGGGAGAGAAACCATATGCTCATGAAAAGTTTAAGCAGAAAGAAAATCGTGTCAAATTGAGCTGTGGATCGTGGTGGAATGAATCTGGGGCCCGAGGACAGTGTGGTCAGGGAGGGCTCCCAGCAAAGAAGGGGTGCACGCACCTTGGACAGGCAGATGGGAGCAGGGCTGAAGAGAGCACGTGTGGGGCCGATGGGGCAGGAAGCGGCCACTGAAATGGTGGGTCCATGCTGGGGACAGTGAGGTAGGGGCCAGACAGCAGGAGCCTCTTCTGGTCTAGCTGGGGGTTTAGGTCTCGTTTCTAAGAAATAAAGAGCCATGGGGAATGTAGTCCACCTGGTTTTGTGAATTGGGTGTCTGGGTCCCGTGACAGAGGGAGGAACTCAGGTGATGACATCACTGGAAACTGTTGGGGACACCGGGGTCACAGCTGAGGCAAGGTGGGGGTGGCAGCAGGGAGAGGACTGGTCATTCGCTCCTGTCAAATTCTGTCCCTGGGGTTGATGCCTCATTCTGGGTCCCCATTGGCTCCCGCCCAGATTTCTGGCTGCTTGCCTGGCCCCCGGTCTCTCCCCACTATGCCCCATGGTCTCTACCGTCCCCACCACAGCCCTCCTCAGGGCCTCACTGGACTGTGTTTCTCCTTGGTTTAAACCTTTCCATTGGTCTCCAATGCCTGGAGGGTAAAACCCAAATTCCTCCCCCAGTTGCAAGTCCCTGTGTGACCCAGTCTAATCTGTCTCCAGCCACACTCCTCCCATCTAGAAAATTCTCACCCTGCGCTCACACTGCTCACCAAGCACACTGCCTCTGCAGGCTTTCTGCCTCTGAGCAGGGGCGGCTGTTTGCCGGCTGGGCCACACCCCTGTGCCCAGGTAGGTGGGGTCCCCGCCCCCCCGCCTCAGCCCTGATGCTTGGGCTCCAGCACCGGTGCGGGGTTCCCAAACATGAACTTTAGTCAACCTGGAGGCCTGTTTAAGTATATTTGCTGGAAACCAGGCCCAGAATTTCTGGTTAAATAGATGCATTTGGAGAATCAGGGAAAGTCTGCTGTGATGTGATGTGGGTCCAGGTGCATCTTGAGGTCTTGCATTTTTAAGGAGTTCCCGGTGGTGATCCGTGGCTGGTCCCCGAGCACCCCAGGCTGTCCCCCCAGGACGGCAAACACCTTCTCTCTGTTCTTCTGAGTTCCCTGCTTACAGCTGCATCCCCAGTTAGGCCTCAGAGCCCACATCTCCATCATGTGCGTCCAGGCCCTTCTGCCACACACATCTCCAAGCGTGAACAAATGCACACCCGGCATATCGCGCAGTGCGGATGAGGGTGTAACATTTCTAGTTGCATTAGGAACAAAAAGCGGACCCTTGGAAACACAGTAATTAACGTAACTTCGGAATGAAGTTTCTCAGCAAGCTCTGATTTGTCCTCACTAACAGCTTAAGAAGCCATACGTACCCACTTCATCTAGAACAGTCTATCACAGGCCCGAAGCTTGAAGAAGACGTGTACTGTCCTCCATCTTCACGCTTTTTGGTGATGTTGAACCTGAGATAGTGAACAGCTCAAGGTTTTGGGCTATGGCTGTTCCTTTTTTTAATCTTTTTTTTTATTGTGATAAAATACAGATAACCTAAAATTTGCCATCTTAACCATTTTAAGCGTACAGTTCAGTGGTATTGATAATTTATTAAATTAACATAATTTAAACTAATGCTACAATAGATTATTAATAATTTGTAGTAATTGATAATGGTGTGCAACCATCCCCACCATCCATCTCCAGAACTCTTTTTATCTTGTAAAACTGACATTCTGCACCCATTAAACATTAATTCCTGAAACCCCCGCATCACTGTTCTCCTTTCTGTTGACTACTCTAAGAACCTCGTGTAACTGGATTATACAATATTTGCCCTTGTGGGACTGGCTGATTTTACTTAGCCTAAAGTCCTCAAGATTCATCCATGTTGTAGCATTTCCTGCTTTTTAAAGACTAATTAATACTCCATTGTGGGTACAGGCCACATTTTTCTCCTCCATTCATCTGTTGATTTGCTTTGCTTACTTTGCTTCACATTTTTAGCTATTGTGAACAATGCTGCCGTGGACATGGATGTACAAGTATCTTTTCCCGACCTTGTTTTCAATTCCTTTAGGTACATACCCCGAAGTGGAATTGCTGGATCATAGGGTAGCTCTATTTTTAATGTCTTGAGGAACCTAGATAACCGTCCTCCAGAGTGCCTGCTCCAGCTTGCGTTCCCACCGACGGTGTAGGAGGTTTTCCCTTTCTCCGCATCCCCGCCAACATCTGTTGTTTCTTGTGCTGTTGATTTTAGCCATTCCAACTGGTGTGAGGTGGTATCTCATTGTGGTTTTGATTGGTATTTCCCTGATGCGGAGTGATGCTGAGCATTTTTTCATGTGTCCATTGGCCATTTGTATGTCTTCTTTGAAGAAATATCTGTTCATGTCTTCTGCCCATTTCTTGACTGGATTCTTTGTTTTTTGGGTGTTGAGTTTGATAAGTTCTTTATAGATTTTGGATACTAGCCCTTTATCTGGTAAGACATTTGCAAACACCTCCCATTCTGTAGGTTGTCTTTTGGTTTTGTCGACTGTTTCCTTTGCCGTGCTTTGGGGATGGGGTAACCGGGTGATGGGCATTAAGGAGGACACTTGATGTGATGAGCAAAGGGTGTTATATACAACTGAAGAATCACTAAACTCTACCTTTGAAACTAATAATATACTCTATGTTAATTAATTGAATTAAAAAAACCTTAGAGCCAAATTTGTGGCTCACCGTGAACTGTATGTTTTCACTTTATCCTATTTTCTGACCTATAGTTCCTCTTCCTGACTTTTCTCATATCTTTTTTCCTTTTAAATTGTTTTTTTTTAGTTCCCCTTATTTTTTAAAATAGAAAGAGATATAGCTGACTTTGTTCTTCCTGAGGCCTAATTTTCATGAGTCTCTTCCCTATCCATCTTAGTGTTAATACATACCAGAAACTCATACCACCACTTATGAAACTTTGAGGGAGCACGGAGAAGCAAACAATGTGGGGTCACAGGTGGACACCAGCAGCACGAATAGAGATGCATTGTGGGCCTGACACAGCCCCATCCCTGCAGAAGGCACTGGACTGGATGGGCCTGAGGGTCCTCACATAGCCCCAGAAGGCAGACTTATCGGGCAGTTATTCTGGAAGTTTCTCTCAAGTGACTGGCATTCACTGAACTCTCCTTCTGAGTTATCAAATGTTTGGTTATCTGTCCTCAAGGTCATGTACAGGGCACCCCGGCCCTTAATGGGTTTCCTCCTAGGCTGGGCTGAGGGAAGGGCCTGAACATCTCTACTATGGTAGATGGTGACCAGGAGGCCCTTGAATCCTGAAGGCATAAACCACCAACGACAGGCAGCAGTAAGCTGGCTCAAGCTTGCACTGACTTCCTGAACACCCTTCCAATCCTCAGCCTCCAGGACTTAACACACACGTGAGCTGCATGGCTTCGCTGATATGATCACCAAACTTTTCTCCCCCTTTTTTTAATTCCTGGCAATGAGGGGATTATGAGGTGGCTAAGAGCTGAAATTTGCCATTTACATAAGCTCACTGACAGGTCTCTCCTGACACTGCAGGTATCCAGGTACTCCCAGTGAAACCAGTATCTCACCTGCAGAGGGGAACCACAGGTAGGGCTCCTGAGCACCAGGCCCATTGAGGCTGCCTTGTGTCTGGAAAAAAAACCTGGGCCTGGCTCTCAAATGGCTTTGTCCTGAAATAAAGCCTTGAGGCCAGTGTCACCAGGCCAGCTCCATGGCCTAGTCTGTGGCTAAATCTATGTCACCTTCTCCAACTAAGGTAGTAGGGGTTTAAATGCAACTGCCTTAAGTGAGGCACTTTCTACGGCTCCAAAGCCTTGACCAACAAATTAAACAAGAGCAAGACGGAATTTGGCCAAAGACACACACACACACACAGAGCTTTTGAAGGGTCACAGCTGCCTCTGGAAGAAGCTTCCTGATGTTAGAGATGCTCAAGGAAGTGCAGGCTGGAAGAGGGGATGCCTATCAGAGCAGGGGTTCAAAGTGGTGGCTTTGAGCATCCTTCCAACCTTGAACTTTTATGACCCTAGGATAGAATGCATAGGCTCCTACTGCACTTATGAAATCCTGCTCCACAGGTGAAAGGAGGCTGCTTGTTCTTACCACTTCCACAGGCCAAACTGAAGGAGCAGGAATTAGCACGGCCAGCAAACAATGACCTTGGTGTCCACGTGCCCAGAACCACAGATCGCTCAGGCCCTGGACCAGGAAGCCAGGTAGTAGCACGGAAAGGGCCAGCCACCCCCAGAGGAGCTGTCCTGGGGTGAAGTCGTAGACCGTGGAGTAGAGGCCTGCATGATGAAAGAGGAAAGACGAGAGGGTGAGTGCAAGGCCGGAGGGGAGAGTGAGGGCCCCTCCAACACCGCATCCTCAGCACGGGCAGGACTCTCTGCTGGACCCAGCCCTGGAGCAGGCACGGCCAGCTTGCATTCTAGACAGGCCTGTGGAAGGATGAAGGTGCCAGGGCTCATGGTCACTGAGAGGGGCTGTTGGCTTGCATAGGACAGCACATGCAAAAACTACTTGGCACCTGGTATGTGCATTTAAAAAATGCTAATCCTCCTCTCTGGGGATTTATTTTTTAATTTTTGAGGATGCTAGGGTAAAGTAACATAGAGAAAGAGACAAATCTAGGTGACGGTCTGTACTCCCAATCAGTGACAGTGGGGGGAGGGGGACTTGTGTCTGTCCAGCACCAGTAGGTGCACAAATTCACTCTAGTCGTTTTATGTGATCATTCCTTGGGTTTTCCAATATTTAAGTTTAAAATGGATTTATGGGTACATAAAGCTGCGAACTGTAGTGGAAACACAGCATTGCCCCGGGGCCAGATAGGAACCCTGCAGGTCTGGACCGAGGGGCCAGGGAATCGACGGGCTCTGTTGGGAGTCCTAACCACCCTGGGCTTTCTGCTCCCCAACCCCTCTACCCACCAAGGTAAACCAGGGTTTCCAGCACAAAAAAGTCTTAGGAGGAGTCACCACCCTGCCTAGGCCCAGCAATGCTGAGGCCCCAGTTGGTTCTCCGGTGAGAGGAAAAGTGGGCACAACGTCTGCGGGAGCACCTGGGGTGAGTACTGACACGGGGCTCCCGTGTTGCCCGAGGCCAACCTGTCTGGGCGCTGGACCAGGGAGATTTGGAGGAGACTTCCCTCGCTCCCTCGGCCTCCTCCTGGGTGAAGATCTGGCCCAGGGCGCCTTTGAAATCGCGCTGCGGGGACGCCCCAGTGGGACCCACAGGGACAGCCTTGCAAACTGGCGACCCCACCAACTCCGAGGCTGCAAGTTGCCCATAGGGGTAAAGTTGCGAGCCGCCGCCTGCCGGGGGTCCCCAAGTTACATGCGTGCTGTGAGGGGCGCGGGGCCCTGGAGGTCTGGAGGCTGGGGCCTCATTAAACCCCCACCCCTCCCCAGGGACCCCGCGGAGACAGACCCATCAGCAGGGAGCCCGGCGCAAGTGGGCGGAGGCCTACTCCTCCTCACAGAGAGAGTTACAAGTTCAAAGCAGAAAGGCGCTAAACAGTGTTGCCATCTTGCTGGGCCAGGACAAGCTCCCCCAGCAAGCCGTCTGGCCAGGTCCTGAAGCCCGCAGCGGATTCAAAGTCCCCCAGGGCCACGCGGCCGCCTCCCCCGCCGCCAAGACCCACGGGCCGGCGGGGGGGGGGGTGGAGAGGGAGCGCAGGGAGCACCCAGACCCGCGTCCTGCGCAGCTCGCACCGCGGCCATCGGCTGCGTCCAAGAGGCCTTTCCCGAGGGAAGGGCGGGAATACACGTGCCCAGGCTCCAGGAGAGGACCGTGCACCCGCGGGGACCCACCGGGGACGGGGAGGGCGGGCGGGGTGCCGCCGTGCACACACGGGCGCGCAGAGCCGAGCGCCGTCCGGGGCAGGCTGCCCGCCGCGGCAGGAGTGGCCCGTGAGTCCCCTGGCGTCCGGTTGGGTCGGGGGGCTGGAGGGGTGAGCGGGGCAGGCGCCCAGCCTGGGGCCGCCCGCACTCGAGCGCGCTCTGCTCGGCCGCCAGCAGCGGGGCGTACAGCCCCAGGGCCCCCGGGTGCATCCTCCTCGCCCCCGCCCCTTCCCCTGCCCGCCGCCTGGTGGTGGGGAGGCTTCCGGCCCCAGAACCCACCTCAGGAGCCGTGGGGGCGCCGAGTACCTGCTGGTTTATCCCACGCGGCTAGCCGGGGACAGAGGCAGGGCAGCCCTGAGTCTTCCGGTCCCTAGGTGGGTAAGTACAAATCAGATCAGGCACCTTGATGTGGGCAGAAGTTTCCTCTGCCGTTCCCCAACTTTATAAAGGGCCCTGAAGAAGTACTGCGTGATGGTTGTGACTACAGGTGGGCTGGTCACGAGGTGGTTAAACCGGTCACTGCCTCTGGAGCCGCTGAAAGCCCAGTGAACCACTAGTCAGTGCACTGGGATGGAAGGCGTTGGGTTGGAGGCCTTAACTGGTCTTTTCAAATTTTCACAAGGGATATTAACTGGTCTCACTCTCAAATCCATCCGGATCTCTGTCCTTGCAAAAAAGCCTTCTCCGGATGGGCTTGAGGATTAACCTAGATTGCAGTGTGCCAGAGGTCAAGCTGCGCACGGGAAAGCTTTCAGGATACATCTACCTACCTCAATCTATAGACTATATACAGTATAACTTGGTAATGGTGGTGATGAATTTGGGGTCTTTAACTCCTAAAGCAGGCAATTAGCCAAACCATTCCTTCTTTTTATGTGGGGGGAGTTTCCAGCGACCATCCTTGAGTCAAGGGCATTTGCCACACTGGTTTAATTAGATGGACTACTGCCCCCTTTGCTACAAAAGCCCTGTAGTAGAAAAAGCCAGAGTTGAAGAACTTACCATCTTGAAGGGGAAAAATAGTTAGACCACTCAGTGAACCTGTAAAGCAAAGGAACCCACAAAACTCTTGTGATTATTTTCCTTTTACCAAAATAGAGCCACAAATTCAGGTATCTTCAGTTCTTCCCCTGTGATGTTTATAAAATTCTTTGTTTCATTGAAGATAACGCTTGTTTGTCCTAAGAGGCTCCCCACCCTACCGTGCCCATTTTCCATTCACTTTTCAGGGCATTTCTGGTTTTCTCCTCAGAAACAAATTCTGCTCTTCTTGGTCTCTCCCCCCTTCAAAGATCAGCTGCAATACTGCGGATCAGAGCCTCCCGAACACCTCTTGACTCTCTGCCCTCTAAGCCGATACAAGGGTGCACTTGTAAGTTTTGGGTTTTCATTCCTTCAGCTTCATTTTCCCCAAAACCTCATTGACCAAAGTCCTGTTCCCTTTTCTCTACTACAGCCTCTCTTTTTATTAACTTTCAATCCCCAGATGCTCCTTTATCTGGTTTTCCTGAAAAAGGAGTGTGTCCCAATTTGTACACATTGGAAGCAGGACTATCATCCCTAGAAAAGGAATGTAAAGTTGAAACTGGGTATAGAAATTAGGGCTGGGGGTAGAGGATGTTTATGGTTGGGGAGGGATCATTATGGTATTCCATACTTTGCTCAACACTTCACGTTTTCGGGGAAAAAAATGTTTCCCCTAATTCCCAGGTATTATTTGAAGCATATACATGGATCCCATATTTTGTATGTTACAAAAAGAATTCAATGATTTCGATGTTTGAAGGAGGGTATTTCTCTTGGGACAGTAGCAGTTTGAATAAGAGCTATAGTTAATGTCTGCTGCCTTGAGGCTTTGGGAGGGTTTTGAAAGGAAAAGTAGAAAACATCTTGGAGAAAGGGGCTTATTGTCCCTGGAGACTCGCTTTAAGTCAGAAAATAGTGGTTCCCACCCCAAACCACAGCCATGGGATGACGGAGGGTGAGTGGGTTGTGCAGAAATCTCAGAAGCTAGAGGATCGTGTGTTGCTACTGTGTAAACACCCGACCGCGTCCAGGCCTTTTGTGTTAGACTGGAAAAAAACACCACAGATTCTTTACTTCTCCCTGTGCCCGCGTCTCTGCCATGTGACTTTGCTACTTCTCCCATGAGAAAGTAGAGCGTCTTCTTCACTCCCTTGAATTTGGCTGGGCTGTGATTTGCTTTGACCGAAAGAATGTGGGAGAAGTTCGGTTGTAGGGGTTCCAAGCCTAGGCCCCGGAGGTTCTGCAGCTCCTTCTCTCTTTTTTTTTCTGTCTGTGTCTCTGTCTTGTTCTCTCTCTGTGCACCCTGAGCCCGTCCTGTGAAGAAGCTTGGGTCAGCCTGACCAAGACAGACTTGACGACTATTACTCGAGAACATTTGTCACTGTCAATTTTTTCTCTGTCCCTATGAGAGGTATGTAAATCTTTTTTTTTTTTTAAGATTATTTTAGAGGAAGAGAGAGCATGAGCGGGGGGAGAGGCGGGGAGAGAGGGAGACAGGCAGACTCCCTGTTGAGCGGGGAGCCCCATGCAGGGCTCGATCCCAGGACCCTGCGCCAAAACTAAGAGTCCGATGCTTAAGGAACTGAACCACCCAGGTGCGCCAGATGTATGTGTGTAAATCTTTCTTAAAAAGCCTTTGTCGGTTTTACAATCCAGGACTTTCCCAAGGATGACCATTGAGGGAGATAGCACCCCTGTGTCCCTGTCTCTGGGGGAGGGAAGGAGCCTAACTTTGATCTCCTGGAGACCCAGCTCACGCTCGAGACATGAGCAAAGCCATCTGAGACAACCCAGTGCAGGCCCAGTGCCATCCGATGCTTATGACCTGTCCTAGCGGAGCTCAGCCCAAACCACTGGCCCACAGAATGAGGAGCAAATAAAATCATTGCTGGGAGCCACTGCTGGCGTGGTCGGTGATGTGGCAGTGGATACAGATGCACTTGTCCTGGGTCGTGATGGTGCTGCCTGGATGGGGGCTCGCCTTGACTCCGTTGGCCAAACCACCGGGAAAAGGGCCTGTTGTCTCTGAGCTCCGGATTCTTCAAACCCTGACTGTGAGGCCGGGACTGAGACTCTGCAAAACAGCCTTCTCCTTTGCCAGCCACGTCCCTTAGGTTCTGCTGGCAGGAGCCATGGGAAGCCCTAGGGCAAGGAGGAACGGAGTGCAGCTCTGCTCGCTTCTCACTCCTGATCCACCCACGAGCCTGCGGCTTCCAGGGCCCCCAGCACCAGCACATGGCGCAGGAGGAGCTCCCGGGGCAGGCAGAGTCTCAGCTGTGTGGGGCTCCTCGGAGGGTCTGATAAGCCCGGAGTCCTCTCTTTGTTCTCCCAGGCATTGGGGTGGGAGCTGCTTTCCTTTCTTGCTCTTACATTTCTCCCACCTCATTTAACCAGTTCCCCACATTAAATTCTCTTTGTTGAAATACCTAGTGTGGTTTCTATAGACTCCATGGTCAAACTCTAGGGGCACCAAGACTGCTCCTAGCTTGGATGTTGCATTTAACTTTGTAAATATTTATAGGAAAGTAACCCCATCTCCCTTGCTCCTAAGGGATCTCTTCCTACGATACATGGACAAGAGGGTCTGGATTGCAGATTCTTAGAAAATCTGATTGTAGATCACAGTGGGAGAGACCACGAAACACCTCAGACCTAACAGGAGGGAGTAAATCCTGAGAAATTTGCATCGTTTATGTCTTTCTCCACATCACACAGTTCTGCCTACAGTCTCTCCACCTGTGCCTGGAGCAACCCACATCCCATAATGGGCGGCGCGTGATGCGTGGAACGGAGGTGAGCCTGGAGAAAAGCCACCTTTGTCCTAAAGGAAGGAGGAGGGGGTGGGGTTGTGGCAATTCGTGACCTCAGAGGCCACTGAGAGCAGAGAAAAATGACCCAGATAGATGTGGGTGTCCCTGTCATCCCGGTTGCCATGGAATTGCCATAAATTCAAAGAAAAGGAAGGGGGGGTTGCAGGCCGGGGCAATTCTGCAGCGTCCACCGATTTCAGACCTCGGTCCTCTCCAGTTGTGTGTCTCCCTTTTGCAGACTCGCTCAGACTCCCCACCCTTTGTCTACCTGACCCTCGTGTGAAGTTGGCTGGAGCAGGAGATCATGAGTGGGGGGCCACTGCCAACATGAAGGCCGTGTGTTACCGAAGGGGTGTCTTAACTGCCGCAAAGGAGCGAGAGGTCAGGGAGGCCAGGTGTGCTTTGCTGCGGATGAATTTGGAAACATCGCCCCTTCCTATGGAGCTGCAGGGCCAGGGGTGTGTTGGGGGCCACGGCCGTGCTCCCACCATCCCTCCTCACGGACTAGGCCGCGGCCCCCGGGGGGGAAGCAGGTATATTCTTCAATGCAGAGCGGCAAGGTTCACGAGAACTTGGGAGGAGTGTGGGAAGCGCGCAGGGCTCACTCACTGCCCCCGAGGAGTCTGTAAATGGGCGATTCCATACTGGTTTCTGTTTCAGGGCCGGAACAAATCACTACTGTCTCCTACTTTGTAAGAGCCAATAAGAAGGTGGTGGAATTCGTTGGTGCAATTTCTACTGAACACGGTAGGAACAAATTCACGTTAATTAACAACGGGGGGGGAGGAGAAAAGCCAGAGTTTTGCTTGGCTTCTCCAGGCCTTGTGTTTGCCAGGAATCCCTTCTGGAGGCACATGCTTCACCTTGCATCACCGAGGGGAGTTGAACGCCGTCTGCACCCACAGCGTGCGCCCGGATGCAACCCTGATTCAAAGGACACGGTGGTGATGTAGGTGACTGCTTGCTCCAAAATACAGTGAATCGATAGAATTTGAGATGCAATAAAGCCGGCATATCAGGAGCCAATTGCCACTGAAAAGAGTTTGTTTCTCACTGATCCCAAGAGGAGGGGCGCACCACTCGGGTGCGGGGGCGGGCACCCGGGGAGGTAGCGGGGCCAGCCAGGAGGCAGAGGGAGGAGGTGACTGTGGGCAAGGGCCTTAACTGCGGTTTCCATGGGAAGGCATCGGCGAGACGGGGAAGCGGGATTAGGACTGGCTAGTCAGGGTAACTTCGGCGCCTCCCCGGCACCGGCCCTGGGGTGATTAGGGCAGCTGGAGAGTGGCCCGGGGCGTGAGAGCCCCATAGAGGAGGTGGGGGCGTGTGCACTCTGGACTGGCGGGTTTGCACTTGAAAAGCTCCTGGGCAGTTGTT